CAGCCAGTGTCCTCAGCTTGTGCTGCCCATCTCCAAACCTCACCCAGCTCCCAGGGAGCCCCCCTCCAAGCCAGGACAAAGGCACAGCGATGGAGGCAGCATTTCCCTGCCACCAAAGCTTTGAGCCATGCACAGAGAATTGCCTCCATCCCCAGGGCTCTCCAGCCAGATCTTCCCTTTAGACAACACAACTGCAGGAGCTACAGAGGCTACGGACAGTGCAGGAAACCCAGCTGGGCAGGCCTGGACCTCACAGGTCCCCCACCTTTTCTGTGCAAGGATTAGTGAGAGAGCCCTAGGGGTTTGCTACTATTTTTATTTGTAAACAAATGTCTGCCTGATGGCATCTCAGGTGATGTCCACCTGGCCCCAGGGATGTGAGGATGCATCCACATTAGCCCTAAACTTCAGCCATGGCTGGAAAGCTAATGGCTGTCGAGATGGCACCAACCCAAATGGGCTACCCTGACCCCACCATGTGGGATGAGCGCCCCACAGAGGACACAAGGACAGGGAGCAGGGTTTGTACTCAGTGTCACCCTCACCTCCAGCCACCAGAACTTCTCTGACCCTCCATCACCTCAAGCCCTCTCCAGTCCTCCCCCCAGACTAGCTCTTGGAATGGTTTCCAGCCACAGCAGACCTCCCAAGGAAGGTTTTCCAACACATAAGACAGCATCACATCTGCTGTACCTAAGCAATACTTACTTATTTTCAGCAGAATCATTTCAGATAAAATGCCCTTCCTTGGGGTTTCTCATCTTCTTTAGGGGCCTGGGTAGTCCTGCAGTGCATTCATTCTTGCCAGAAACCTTGTCACTTTTAAACTGCTTTTAAGGCCATTGATTTGGCTGATTTACAGGTTACTGATGGTGTTCAGTGTTTGTTGATGGCTCTTCTGGCCGTTGCAGGTGTCCAAGTCATTCTAGACTGACCCTAACTCACCTAACACACCAGAAGTATTGATATCTCCCCAGCCTCCCTCCATGGCCCATGCAGACAAGTAAGCCCCACCAAGGAACAAGGTCAGGTGAGCTTACCTTCTTTCAACGGGGACATAATCTCCTTCACTTGCCAGCAAAGTCCTCCTATAGCTGTAAGCAACATGCAAAAATTGCCTGCTGTCCTCTCTGCCTGCCTGTAGCCTCCTTTGGGCCTGTCCTCCTCTTCCTCCTTTGGTTTTGCCATGCAAGGAAGGAGTCAACGGTGAATGAGCCACTGTGCCATTTTGCTATCATCCAAAAAGCCATTTGTAGAACACGTAGAGGAGCAGAAGGCCTAAGGAAGGTCAAACTTGCAGACACGCTAAGAACTGTACTCTTGGCTATGTCATATAACTGCAAGGTATTTTTATATATATATATATATATATTTCTTTTTTGATACTACATTCTGTAAAATATCCAATGTCATGTAAGGATGGTTCTGTGTAATCTTCCTCCTGAGAACAAAATAAAACTTTGATATATACTGAGTCTGTGCCCTGGGGCTTTTATTCCAAAGAGGGACATGGTCAAGGCTGGTTGCTGGTCTCTGCCATGCACACCTGCGCTCCCAGAGGGATTCTCACACTGTCCCTAACCCTGACCAGCTGCTCAGCCATGGCCCATGCAGCTTCATGGGCTGAGACAGACCCCGACCAGCCACGAATACAAATTGCAAAAAATGGCAACAGATGCCCTTCAATTATTTATAGCCTTAGCACATCACTGAAGACGGGGGCCGTGGCAGGAGGAGAGTGCAGCAGCCTGTATGCTGAGAATAGCAATTAAATCTGGGTTCAATTGACATGCAGAAAAAATAACAGGTATGTGACTTTTGCTTTAAAAGGGGTGAAAAATCAGCCCATCCCTGCTAGCTGTTGGACTGAGAGATCACGTCTTCACAGCAAAGGCTCTGCAGCAAGCACAGATGGGAGCTGGGGCAGGGACAGAGCTCTGTCGGGCATCTCTTCTCCACATCACAGGCTGTGAAAATCCAGCCTTCAGAAAGCACTTAAAATCATAGGCACTGCTTCCTACCATGTGCTTGGATCCAGTGCTGAGAGCTGGGTTATTGATCCCTATTTTCCTACAGCACAGAACTGAAGTAACTGCACCAGGCTCCTCTGGGTTGGCAGTGAGGAGGAGGGCGGCAGGTCTGGCTCACTCGCTCACGGGTCTGCTAACGTGTCCAGAGACATCAGAGGGATGAAGGGGAGGAGAGAGAAAAAGCAAAATAAAGGCATAGTCCCCTGAGCATTAAACCATCAGCTGTAGGATCTGAGCCTAGACAGCTCTGGGGCAAGTTGAAAAATATTGCTGCCCTATAACAGATCAGTCATAAATACACAGTCTCCTCCATCTCCCATCGACAGCTCTGCCGGGAAATCACCAACGCAACCCAGCCCTCGCCCCCTACTCGCCAAGCCACCATGCTGCCGAGTGCCAACCCCTCATGCCCCGCGGCCACCGCGGCTGGCTGCAGGGAGGGCTGGGAACGGGCAGCAGAGGAGAAAAGCGAGAGCAACAACAATGGGCTTTGCATTTGCTGGCACCTCGCAACCTGCCGGAGTGGTGAGAGCTTCTCTCCAGGGAGACAGGCGCGGAGACAGCAATTTATCAGTCTGGCTGTGGTGAAAGGCCAGCTAAATGGCCCTGGGTGAGGTTTGCCTGTCCCTGGCTGTGTGTGAGTGCCAGGCATGAGCTGAGAGTTGGCTGCAGCAGAGCCCAACCTCAGACAGACCAGGGGGGACAGCCAAGACCTGCCCGGGACCCACGGGGAGCGAGAGCATCCTTCATCCCTCAACCACACTCCCCGGGATGGGCTCGCTGTCCCCATGCCAGCTCGGGGCTGGACACTGCTCACGATCCCTAGGGGCTGAGCTGAACCTTGGGGGCTTGCTCCAGGCTCCAAAAGTGCCAAGAGCCATGAAAAGCAGCACTTGGAGAGCAGTTGGCTAAGAAACAAGTGGGAGATAGGCACGACTGCATGACAGAGAGAGGGGTATCCTGGAAGGAGCCTAAAAATGAGGCCGGGGATGAGAAGCCCATGTATGCACGGGTGTCTCTGAGTAATGGGGAGGACACGAAGGGGCTGCATGACGGAGGGGACATACACGCACAGCACGAGGAGACAGGCAGGCAAGCAGGCAGCGGTGGGGAGGGGACCAGGGAAAAAGCAGCATATGCATGCAAGGCCATGGGTTGGGGAGCACGGGGTGTGTGCAGAGGGCATTGCAGGGGGATGAAGGATAGCTCTGCCCTTGTAAACGAGCAGAGAGACCCAAG